CAGAATCTCACTTCATTTGTCGTGTATATAATTGAGATAATGTCCCATTTAAATTGACTTACCACTTGTAAAGCGCAAGCGCCTATTCTAAATTCTTAATGTTATGTAAATCAATCATCAGAAATTTCTTCTTTTGTAAGAGATCAATAACTTCCAAGCCCAAGTGAAATGAGAATTTCTTGGTTTACAATGCTCAAATTATAAAGTGGAAATTTAAACACATACAATTCTTTTTAATTTTTGAACAAAAAAAAGCATGCTTTCCTACATTCTACATTTCCTGATTTAGAAAATGATAATTACTTGTTTGGAAAATATTGACTTACGTATTAGCTGACGCTGCTAGCGTCGAAATGAACGGATATTTGTCTCCAAGAGAAAATTCTGGATCGTTGACGTATCCCCATCCTAACCAGGCCTTTTTATAAACATTTGAGAGATGCGCCATTATCAAACCTGCTTAAGAAGGAGAATATAGATGAAAACTAAAAAAAGTTTCCATTGTATTCGTAGATTGAACAAATTCGAACTATAGGATTCAGGATAACTTTCTTTTAAGTTTTCAGTATAAAGAGCTGTCCATCAAATGTGGAGTTATTTCATTGTGAGAATTCATTAAAAATTATATTGCAAGAAAGCCTTTGTTGATTAAGTGTGCGCTTTCATGAAAACTAACCTTCGGGACATGGAGGTCCTATGACAACATCAGCATTCTGCCGCAGCATATATTCGATGCCAAGACCCAGCGTCTTCGCCAAGTCACAATCGCTATATCCAATGGAAAACCTAATTAAATCAATGTCATGTCACTTGACATCATCAAAGTGAAAAATTCGTAAAACTAAATTTATATGGATAATGTTACCACAATGACAATAATACTACAATACAATGAGATTATCTGAAGACATAGTTCCTCTTTCGTTTCTTGTTGTTCAAACATGGAGCAGGACTGTTTGACCTTTTGAAATGAGTGCTTTGTTTAGCTATCAACTAAAGAACTCCAAGCTTGAAAAAATTTCTAAACTAAGTCAGAGCACTTCTCTAAGTTAAAAACGTTTCAACTTCAAGCTTGCTTCTCAAACT